GGGCCCCAAGACCCCTCTGCCATTGGGGTGCTCTACCCTCTCGAACAGGATGAGCATCTCACAGTGCGGGGTCTGCGGGAACAGGTCCACTGCCACGGCCTTCACCGGCCGGAAGGGAATACCCTTCACCCGGTTAGATGGGGCTCTGCAGAGGCTGTGGGGGAAAAAGAGGGGCACCAAGGTCAGCCAGTGGGCTAGTCAGGGGCTCTTATGGGAGTTGGGAGCTTGGTGCCAGGCCTGCCCCCCTCCAGGCCCCTGCTGACACTCACTCCACAAAGTTGCCCATGGCTGCCCGGGGGTTGCATGAGACGTACAGCAGCCGCCTGAGGTTCTCGGCTCTGCGGATGGCCAGGATCACCTTGGAATCTGAGGAGGCAGATACCAGCTGGGTCCCCACAGCCAGAGTTTGCACAACCTGATCAGCCACCCCATATGTCCTTGTTCCCGTGCCACCTTTTTAAGCAGGAGCCACTCACGTAGGCCGGCACGGGGTGGGTCCAGGATGGCCACGAGGTGCTGGGAGGCCAGTCTGCTCACCAGGGCGGGCACCAGGTCCTCGGCCCTCCCACAGTGGAACTCCACGTTACTCAGTTCTGAAGAGATGGCACCGTGGCCTGTCAGAGGGCTGCGCACCTTCCCCACAGGGCCAGCCCTGGGGAACCCCTAGCCACCGCTGAGGCTAGCAGCAGGGGTGGCAGCTGCCCCTGTCCCTGCCCCCATCCACGGCCTTGCCACTCACCATTGTCCTGGGCATTCACCCGGGCGTCTTCCACAGCCTCTGGGCACAGCTCAACCCCAATGACTCTCTTCACCTTCTGAAACAGGAAAGTGTGAGGTCAGCCCACCCAGGGCCACCTCGGGGAGGGGAGTGCATGGGGTGCTGGGGTCAGCTGCGGTGCCTTCAAGCTAGGGTCAATGGGGCTCTTGCGGGGTGGGGAGACGGTGCCCTCTGTGGGGCGGGAGGGCTCACCCGGGCCAGGGCCAGGCCAATGGTGCCGGTGCCACAGCACACGTCCAGCACTGTGCTCTCCGCATCCAGCTGGGCCCAGTCCTGGATGACTGTGTAGAGCACCTCGGCCGCAGGTGTGTTCACCTGGGGGAAGGCAGTGCCCAGGATGTCAGCGGCCCCCCTTCCTGTGGTGCCGCTGGCACCCCGAGACCCATGTTCTTGGTTCCTCCATCCTGCTGCCCACCTTGGTGCCCAACCTCTTCCCTGTCCCCACCTTAGACCACTCTTGCTAATGCCCTCACCCTATCCCCAGCTTTTTTATTTTTATTTTTTAATTAAGAGATGGGGTCTTGCTATGTTGCCCAGGCTGCAGTGCAGTGGCTATTCACAGGTGCAATCCCACTACTGATGAGCACAGGAGTTTTGACCTGCTCTGTTTCTGACCTGGGCCGGTTCACGCCTCCTTAGGCAACCTGGTGGCCCCCCGCTCCTGGGAGGTCACCATATTGATGCCGAACTTAGTGTGGGCACCCAATCGGCATAGCGCACTACAGCCCAGAACTCCTGGACTCAAGAGATCCTCCAGCCTCAGCCTCCCAAGTAGCTGGGACAACAGGCACGTGCCACCCTGTCCGACAGCCCCCAGCTTTAAAAGCCAGGCCTGTGCTGAGAATGGCCTCCTCCTTGCCCTGATAGGTTGAGGGCTCATGAGGGCCAGCAGGCTGTACCTTTCCTGCCCCAGCAAGGGGACTTTGCCTCCCACAATTCACAACAGGGCCCCTGGAGTTACCCAACTGCAGTTCCCACCCCTACACCTGGCCCTCCAGCAGGTCCTGCCAGGCCTGTCCCCAAAAATCGCTGCTCCTGGTCCCCACAGCCTTCCTGCAGCAGCGAGTGGGATGGTGAAACAGTGTTCCCCAGCCCAGAGGCCACCACAGCCTCCCTCCTGCCAAGCCCAGAGCAGTGCCCTTTGGTAGTGCAGAGGGCCATGCCTCAACCTCCCCATGACAAGAAGGGCCACTGCTGTGTGTACCTCTAGGCTGTCATGAATCAAAAAAGTGACGACCAACCTCTTTCTTACTTCACCCTCCCCGGTGGCTCCCCTGCCGATTCTCTCCCCAGATTTCGCCGCCTGAGCCCACCATTCCCATCATGTCCTGACGCTGCGTCAGGCTTCCCTCCATATGTCCCCAGGCACACCAGGTATTCAGGGCTACCTGGAAGAAGGCGTGTGGAGAGATCCGGAAGGTCAGCCCTAGCAGGTCCTCGTGGATGCATTGGTCCCCAGCCACGTGCTCCAGGGGCAGGCCCTCCTGGCTGGGAGTCTTTCTGTGGGCAGAAGTACAGGTCTTTCAGTGTCATAGCCCCTGCAGGGACCCGTCCCACCCAACTCGGGCTCCTCACCGCTGTCCCTCCTCCACGAAGTAGAGGCAGGTCACTCCACTGGCCCTGCCTGGCCCTGACATGAAGTGCTGTGCTAGGGAGGCCTTCAGCTCTGCCAGCTCCTCAGGGTTCAGTTTCTGGAGTAAGGGGTGAAAAGGTCCCATCAGGCTGTGGCGAGGCCCACCCAGGTTAGGTATGTACCCTCCCCGAACAGGACCGCCGCCTGAGACCTGAGGGTGGAAGTAGGCAATGGCCATGGCCTGGCGGCGGCGGCTAGTACGCACAGTCAGCTGCTTCCAGTGGCCTGTGTACGTCTCTGGGTCATATGCTGAGTATGGCGTGGACCTGTGGGAATCACGAGCTGGCTGGGTGCCCACGACTGGGGAAGCAGCCCTCTGCTCTCTCCTTGGGCCACATCTTCCTCCACCTGGCTGCAATGGCAGGCACCCCAGAATTCCCAGGATGGGATCCCATCCCCATCCGATTCAGACTACGCAGAACTTCCCAGGAGCCCTGTCACAGGTCCTCACCGGATGTACTCCTGGAAGGCCTTCACCACCTGCTTGGTTGCTTCGGGGATGTGCACGGTATCAAACGGGGCTGCCACAGCACACGTCCCGCCCTTGTACTTGCCGAGCCGACAGCCCACGGTGTTATCCTCCCCATCCACCCCGACGCCAACCAGAAACTCACACTTATTACGATACTCGGTCTGCGGGGAGGCAGGGAGAGACAGCTGCACCTTACCCTGGCTGTCCAGCGCTTGTGCCCTGAAAACCTTGATTTCCCCACAGAGGCTGGCAGTCAAAACACAAGAGCGACAACTAACAGGTATGTGATAAGTTACCAGAAGAAAACACAAAACAGGGAAAGCAACCGGAAAGGTGAGCAAAAGCAGTTTTCAAAACCCAGTATAGGGGTTTGTGGCCGCTGAAGTGAAGCCTGACCTGCTGGGGTGATGGCCTGACCCCCTCCAGTGGGCAACAGGCTTTGTTGTGCCTGTGCCTCTGCTCCACCAGCCAGGGCAGAAGGGCACGGTTGGTGCTTCCAATTTCCCTGTAAGAGGAGCAGATCTGTGGTTGGACTCCACCTGCTGCCCCCCACCCATGCCCGGCCACTCCCCAAATGGCCAGGCTCCTGGTTCCTCCTTTGGGATGTCATTGTGCCCATGGTAACACGGGTGTATCACCGGCTAGCTCCCAAAAGGGCTGCCAGATCTTGTGCTGGGCCTCCTGACTAGTGCACGGGCAGGCAGGCTGAGCAAGCACAGGGCTGGGCAGAGCCCCGGCCAGGAGGGGTGTCTCCAACCTCACTCACTTGGCGAGTTTCTGTAGCACCTGCTCACACTCCAGCCGCTTCCGCTCAAGCTGCTCAGCATAGGGCACTGTCCATAGAGGGGTCACTACATCGGCCACTCGTGTTGCGGGCGGCTCACTCTCACCCTCTTGTCGCCTCCTCCTGGCCATGGGGTCGGCCTTAGGCCGGGCCAGGCGCACACTGAGTGGGCGGCCTTTCCAGAGGGCACCATGCAAAATGCGCAGGGCCTTGTCCCTCTCTGCAGCGCTGCGAAATGTCACGAAGGCGCAGGGTGGTTGCCCAAAGAGTTTGGTTTTGTGGGGCTGCAGGCCAAACCGGGCCAGGAAGCGACGGACATCGCTGAAGCTGGCATGGCGAGGGACATTCTGCAGCTCCAGTTTGAAGATCTCAGAGGTGAACAGGTCATCCCTGATGTAGCTGTAGAGCCCGGGCTGAGGCCCCGACCCTGTAGCTGCCCCAGCCCCCTCTTCCTCTGCCTCCTCCAGGGCTGCTGGGGCTGCAGGGGACACCGAGGCTGTAGGGCCGTTGAGGGCACTGCTGCTCTCCTGGCTACAGCTCTCCACTGCCTCTGGGCCCTGTGTGGCGACAGATGGGGTGCTAGGGTGAGGACCAGGCCCTGGGGTCTGGCCTCCCAGACTCCCCTATGGCACACCCAGACCTCCATCGGTGCACTTTGCACTCAGCCCTGTCCCTCCCCTCCCCCATTCTACCCTCCTGATCCCATTCCCGTATCCTTTCCTACCCCAAAGAACCCGTCTCTACCCTACATCTTCTCTGGCAGATTTCCCGCCCCACCCTGCCTCCTCCCACCCCAACCCCGTCTCTACCCACCGTCTCCCCGCACTCTACCTCGTTGTCGAGGTTCTCACTCATCGCCCAGGTCGTTCTCCGCCTAGACCAGAGGCGCCACGGAGGCCGCCTGGCCACCTCGTCCTGGTCCTGTCACACGAGAAGTGCTCAGAGGGGAGGTGCTCAGAGAGCCTGTGCAACGTCGCGAGGTCGCCGCCACCGCCAGCCTCGCCCTGGGCGGGGGCGGGAATCGAACCTGCGGTGCTCAGGTCCGGGTCTCAGGCTTGGGGCTGCACCGCCCGCCCGCCAGGGGCCCGCGCTGGCCGTTCGCTTCGCCCGCTACTCTTAGTCCGCCAGAGCGTTCCGCGGAGGCCACGCGTCTCTATGATCCTGGCTTCCGGCAACATCATCGCCACGCGCCGGCTACAACCCCCCAACCACTTCAGCCAGCTCCAGAGGCGCGCGTGGCCAGGCCGGAAGTGCGCGCGGGGGTCGCCGGGAGTGCGCCCTCCTCTGGCTGAAGGGCGGGCCGAGCATGCGCCGCGGGCGTTTTGGCGGGAAGCGCGGGGCGGGTCGGACAATGAGAATGTCCGCCGCATGAGCTAATAAAGCTGTAGTGGTTTTGAATCGTGGCGCGTTTCCCGCCGCCGAGGTCAGGGGTCGAGGTTCGGGTCGCGGGGCGGAGGGAAGAGCGGGCAGGCGGGAGGCGCCAGCGCCAGACGCGGACGGAAAGAGCTACGAGTAGCCGCCGAGAGGCCGCGGAGCCAGCGACGACCGACCCAGCTGAGCCGCCGCCGCCGCCGCCGCGCCCCCATGGCGGCCGCCAAGGTGTGGCCGGGCCCAAGCGGGGACAGGGTGGGCGGGCGGGGCCGATGGGACTGGGGCCGCTATCAGCGGCCACGTGGGCGGCCCGCGCCGCAGCCACCAACCCCCGCCGGCCTGCAGGCTCGGCCGTCGGTGGCGCGGGGTCGGGGCGCGCGGGGCCTGGGGGCTCGAGGCCTGCAGAGTTGGGGCGTCTGGGGGTGCAGTTTCTGGGCTTGGGGGCTGCAGGGCGCCCGCGTGACCTTGGGGTGGGCTGGGGAGCGGCCGTCGCCACGCGGGGCGACCCTGGCCTCTGGAAACTGGAGCGGGCGGCAGGTTTCCTCCGGCTCGGCCCACTTGGGGCTTCCCACTAGTACGGTGCATTTATTACTTCCGTCGCCCACGCAGCACTTCATTCATTCGGTTCTCACGTCTGGAGCCGCCACCGGCCTCTGGCAGAAGGTCGCGTTCCAGCGTGGGGCACAGGTCCTGGACGCGCCCACCCAGGGGGCGGCTTTGTTGGCTGCGGTGTCTGGTTGAGTGAGTGCGGGCCGCTGCGGAGTCGCAGTACTCTGGGGACCAGGGAAGAGCAGCCAAAAGCTTATGTTTTCTTTTCCAGTTTGTGTTAAGTGGTGAAGTCTTGGGTCTCTTACTGGGTGACTACGGCCCGTGTTCTGGAAGACTCCAACCTAAAATATGATTATTGGTGCTTTCTTATTCTCTAAATTGGGTCAGGATTTCATGATTTGTGCCAGTTATAGTTTATCTACTTAATAATTTCCTAAACTGTGAAAAAATTGCTGGCAGAGCGGTGAATCCACTGTAAACCCCGGAAGTCCTGTAGCAACTTTTTCATTCTAGTAAGCAAGAGCACAGCTATTTCCAAATTAGTAAAAACTGAAAGGGTTACATTTTGCTTTAAGGGAACATTTCAAAATCCATTTCGACTTACCTTTGTGTCCTTTGATCTTCACACAGCAGGTATCATCTGCATTTTATGGATGAGGAAGAAACTGATGCTCAAAGAGATGCAGTTTCTCCCAGGCCACTCTCTGCAAGTGTTGGCTGTCTTGTAGGGTCCCCCATTAATCTGTGCACAGATGATTGATATCTGTGAATGGGAGGGAGGGGCCCAAGGTCTGGTGTCTTGCTGTAGGCTCACGCGTTGAGTCTGTGGAGCTGGGTGTAAATGCAAATCTTTCCTAGTGTGGAAGAGTGGGCTTGGTTTCTTGCTTTGGGGTGGGGCCCATCCTCGTATCTGAAAGCCCTTCACTGGTGGGGCTGACGACTGCAGGCACTGGTTGGGCTCTGGCTGTGAGCCAGATCCATAGGCCAGCAGTGTAACCTCTTTGTATCTGTCTCCACAGGACACTCATGAGGACCATGATACTTCCACTGAGAATGCAGATGAGTCCAACCATGATCCTCAGTTTGAGCCAATAGTTTCTCTTCCTGAGCAAGAAATTAAAACGCTGGAAGAAGATGAAGAGGAACTTTTTAAAATGTAAGTATGCCGATATCCTAGAAATAGGAATCTTTAGTGTGAGGTTGAACTTACAACTTTTATAGGTATCCAGGTCTTGGACTGACTTTGAATCGGACTGAGGCTGTTTAAAGGAAGGGCCTAAAGTTATTTGGTGACTAATTCATGTGGAAATTTAACCCATTCCTTTCATGACTTTGCCAGGTGCCCTTGCTGCCCTGCAGCCAGTCGCATGGAAGGCATCTATCGTTGCTGCTCTGTCCACTGGCATGGCAGCCCTGCTGCTCTTCCTTGCACTGGCTTCTGAGGATCCAGGGATTCCCTTGGTTGAGCAGGGGGTTTTAACTTTTTGCAGCATAGGCATTTTTGATGTTGTGAAACTTATAAATCCCCCACCTGGTGTTTTTAATACACAAAATAATGTTTGCAATTACACATGAAGAATAAAGGTGATGGTTTAGTTATTAAAGCCACTTTAAAAAAACTGTACGTGTGTTTCCTAACACCTTCACTGAAGAGCTGGCTGCAGTGGTGGGTACCAGCCTTGTGTCTTGTGACAGTGTCACAGCACTGCGGAGACTGTGACCTGTCACCTACACTCAGGATTGCAACAAACACCTTTTTTTTTTTTTTTTTTTGAGACGGAGTCTTGCTCTGTCACCAGGCTGGAGTGCAGTGGCACAATCTCGGCTCACTGCAACCTCTGCCTCCTGGGTTCAAGCGATTCTTCCGCCTCAGCCTCCTGAGTAGCTGGGACTACAGGCGTGTGCCACCACACTCAGCTAATTTTTTTGTATTTTTAGTAGAGACAGGGTTTCACCGTGTTGGCCAGGATGGTCTCGATCTCTTGATCTCATGATCCGCCCGTCTTGGCCTCCCAGAGTGCTGGGATTACAGGTGTGAGCCACCGCGCCCGGCCAAACACTGTGTTTAGTTACATACCTTAGTGAAAATGAGGTTGCAGTTTTTCCCTGTTCAAGTTGATGGAGCCTTCCCACTCCTGGAGTTGCTTCAAGAGCCCAGGTTAAGATTGGGTTGCTCTGGGTTGGGAGAGGGAAGCAGAGAGAGTCATTCCTACTGTGAGTCTCCTCCAAGGAAGGGGGCTGGGGACAGGTACCTGGGAAAGGATAACTGGGAGGGATACCTGTGTCACTCTTTGTTCACAGAGGGTGATGGACATGTCCCTGAAGCCACTGGGTGGTTGGGTCTCCACTCTGCTGATGCGTTGCTGTAGCCCCTGTTTGGGAATAGCTCCTTCCTGGGGTAAAGTGCTTGCCCCTATCCCCTCACTGCCCACGTTGGGTGGGAGGTGTTCCTGGTGTCCTGGGCCTGGGCCCTCTCTGAGGGAGGTGAGGCCAACAGGATGGGCCTGGGCGTCTGCAGTAAAGCTCCAGGGGTGTCCTGTTGGGAAGCCTGTGGCACAGTCTCCCTTGCCAGAATCACGTGGGGGCAGAGAGCAGAGAGGCAGGCGGAGCTGGGTGTGGAGGGAGGGCGCAGCCCAAGCCCTGAGAGTGGACTGCTGGGCTCTGGGTACCCCGGTCCCCAGTGGGAGGGGCTGCTCCCGGGCAGGAGGGCTGGGTGCGGAGGGAGGGCGCAGCCTGAGCCCTGAGAGTGGACTGCTGGGCTCTGGGTACCCTGGTCCTCAGTGGGAGGGGCTGCTCCCGGGCAGGAGGGCTGGGTGTTGGCCAGGGCCTGTTGACTGAGCAGAGGCCTGGGCCTCTTCTCTGTGTTGGGGTCTCGGGGAGAACAGGGGCCATCTCATAGTTGAGGGATGCTGGGTGTAGGGTGGAGGTCCTTGTCCCGCACCTGATCCATGCTGTTCCCCCGAATCTCTGGGCTGGGGTGCTCTTGCACAGTGACCGTGGGATAAGCCCACCTAGGGGACTTCTTTTCCTACATTGGGCCTGCCCTCCCTCCCTCCCTCTCTCTCTCTCTCTCTCTCTCTCTCTCTCTCTCTCTCTTTCTCTCTCTCTTTCTTTTCTTTCTTTTTTTTTTTTTTTATGAGGGGCCTGTCTGTCATCCAGGCTGAGTGCAGTGGTGCGATCATGGCTCACTGCAGCCTTGATCTCCTGGGCTCAAGAGATCCTCCTGCCTCTGCCTCCTGAGTGGCTGAGACTATGGGCGTTAGCCATCATGTCCAACTAATTTTTTATCTTTTTGTAGAGATGTTGTCTCTCTGTGTTGCACAGGCTGGTCTTTGTTGGGGGAAATATTGCAACTGTAGGCGCAGTGGTGTGGTCTCAGCTCACTGCAGCCTCTGTCTCCCGGGTTCAAGTGATTGTCTTGCCTCGGCCTCCTGAGTAGCTGCGATTACAGGCACCCGCCACCACACCTGACTGATTTTTGTGTTTTCAGTAGAGACGGGGTTTCACTATGTTGGCCAGGCTGATTTTGAACTCTTAACCTCAGGTGGCCTGCCTGCCTCAGCTTCGCAAAGTGCTGGGATTACAGATATGAGCCACCGTGCCCAGTCGTCTAATTCTCTGGGTTGTAGAATTGGAATTCAAGATGACCTGGAGTTTGTTGAGCTGCTGCGCTTTCTGGTGGTGGTATGACAGTGTTGGTGGAGGCGTCAGGCCCTGAGCGCAGGGTTGTCCTGTGTCGTCTCATGCAGGCGCTGCATATGAGCTGCAGGTCTGCATTCCTAACCTGACGGCTTTTCTTGCAGGCGGGCGAAACTGTTTCGGTTTGCCTCAGAGAACGACCTCCCAGAATGGAAGGAGCGGGGCACCGGCGATGTCAAGCTTCTGAAGCACAAGGAGAAGGGGACCATCCGCCTCCTCATGCGGCGGGACAAGACCCTGAAGATCTGTGCCAACCACTATAGTAGGTGGCCCAGCAGTCCCCAGCAGCTCGGCCTGGGACCTTCGGGAAGATTCTTTCAGGGCTGACTGGGAACTGGGGAGCGTGTTATTACATGGAGCGTGCAAGTTTGTGGTGTGTTTGTTGAATTTAAAACCAGAAATACGTTTTTCAGACGTGCCTCTGAACTCAGAGCAGGCCCGCAGCGAAGCTTAGAGCACACGGGGGTGTGGAGGCAGCCAGACGGGAGGACGCGGCACCCAGGCTGGGCTCGGGACGAGGAGTGAGTGCTGCAGGGCAGGGCGAGGGGGCGCTGTGTGTGTGTGTGTGTGTGTGTGTGTGTGTGTGTGTGTGTGTGTGCGTGTTAGGGGGTGTGGTGCCGGGAGGGTGTGATACCTCGGGGGATGTGGTCTCTGGGTATGGTGTCTGGAGGATTGTGTGTGGTGTCTGGAGGGGTGGTGTTTTGGGGGGTATGTGTAGTGTCTGAAGGTGTTTGGTGTCTGGGTGTGCATGTGGTATTTGGAAGTGTGGGTGTGTGTGTGGTGTCTGGGATGTGTGTGGTGTTTGGACGTGTGGTTGTGTGTGTGGTGTCAGGGGGAGGTGTGTCGGGGTCTGTGTGGTGTCTGGGGATGTGTGTGCGTGGTGTTTGGAAATGTGGTTGTGTGTGTGGTGTTGGGGGGATGTGTGGTGTCGGTGTCTGTGTGTGGTGTTTGGGGATGTGTGTGTGTGGTGTTTGGAAATGTGGTTGTGTGTGGTGTCGGGGGGATGTGTGTTGTTGGGATGTGTGGTTGGGTGCATGTAGTGTTTGAGGGGTGTGGTGTCTGGGGGGCGTGTGTGTGAGATTGGGGGCATCGGGCAGTGTGAAGGTGGATGTGTGAGGTGCCCAGGCGCCAGCCTCCTCAGCTATGGTGTGTTCCACCCTCACCAGGATCTTCCCTGGGGAGGGTATGGGGCTGGGGAGAAGGTGGCCAGGCCCTCAGCACCTGTGAAGCTACATAAGTAGAGGACCTTGGGCAGATTCAGCCGAGAGCTCTAGCCACCCTGTGAGGGGCCTAGCCTGGCCTGGAAAGAAGTGGCAATAGGTTGTCCCAAGTGTGTCTGGCTGCCAGCTGTCCTTAGATTGTGCTGCCCGGCTTGGTGGCATGTCTGGAAGTACACTTGTCTTGGGGTGTCTTTTGGTAAGCTTCCTAGTGTCGTTTGTTGAGTGTCATGCGTGTCTGGTGGGGCAGGACCCTCATCCCAGGTGCAGGATGACTGCTGGCAGGAGCCTGAGTGGCTCGGCCCTTGCGGGCAATGCAGGGGGGTGGGCGGAGGTCTGCCTGTGCTGTGGGCACCTTGGTGCACGGCCTGGCCTGCCAGACTTCCTTGAGAACTGGCTCCTGGGTTCCCCACCCTCCCTGCCCAGCATGTCTAGTCCTGGGGAAGCCTGCGCTCTGGCTGGTCCTCTTCCTCCTCGAGCCCAGCTTGAATCGTTTCCTCAGGGGTCTTCCCTGATGCCATGTGCTGCTCCCAGAGCCTGGTCAGGTTGCGGGTTATTGTGTGTGCATGGTAAGTTGGTCCTGGGCCCTGGGGCATCTAGGCAGAGCCATCTGCATAGCCGGTAGTGTCTTGTGCCCATCATGGGCCCTTGGTAGACAGGAAAAGTGGCAGTGGGTAGAGGCTGGCCTCTGGGTGGGGTGTCAGGGAGGCTGTGGGCTGGCTGGGGGGCTGGGTGTGAAGGGGGCATCCAGGAGGCCTGGCATCTGCTGTGGCGGGCTGCAGTAGGCGAGATCCCCCAGCCCCCAGTTCAGATGGTGACATGTAGGGGTAGCCTGGGGATGCTTGTGGCCTGGGCCAGGTGTGGGCACCACTGGGGATGCTCCGGGTTCTCAGGGAGCTGTTCTGAAGAGTGGTTGCCTGCAGGGTCATCTCTCCTTGGGGCTGCCTGTGCCTGAGGAATTGTGGGGAGGCATCCACTGCAGGCCATGGCTCTGTCTCCTGTGTCCTCCAGGCATCAGTCATGGGGATGGAGGTGTGCACAGCTGCGGGCTGCAGCCCCCAGTGGGTTCCTTTCTGGCAACTGCCCCACTTTCCAGCCCTCGGTTGCCCCCCACTTTCAGCTGGGCTGGCTCCATGTGTTGGGTTCCCTCAGGAAAGGCGGGGCCCCCGGGCATTGCGCCCTGACGTCTGACCCCGGGCTTCTGACTGTGTGGTTGGGGTCAGGACCAAGGGGATCCGTGTTGGGCTTGAGTGCAGCCCTAGAACTGGAGCTGGGGCCTGCTTTTCCGGCTCTGCTTCTCGGCATTTCTGGAGGTGGGGGTCTGTGTGTCAAGTGGTGGTGCACATGGCTCGAGTTCCTCGTGGAGATACAATCAGGGGACCGCCTGTTCCCGATGAGGATGGTCCTGGTTTTAAGTGATTATGGGGCATTTTTAAAGGTTTGAATAAAACTCAGGCCCTTTAGCACTTTGTTTAAGCCTAGTTCTCTGACCCCAGATGGACTGTCCCGGTGTTGTCTGAAGCAGACCTGTCAGGTGAATGAGCAGGGTGCTCTGTGGCCGAGGGCTAGGTGTGCTGGCCTTTCAGTCATCCCGCCATCCTCACCATCTTCTCTCTCCTCAGTCACGCCGATGATGGAGCTGAAGCCCAACGCGGGTAGCGACCGTGCCTGGGTCTGGAACACCCATGCTGACTTCGCCGATGAGTGCCCCAAGCCAGAGTTGCTGGCCATCCGCTTCCTGAATGCTGAGAGTGAGCCAGGGGACCCTGGGGGACCCGCCTGACTTGGGGATCACCTGCATGGCAGTGTGGCGGGTTATGTGCAACAAATGCTGTTGCCTTTTGGGGAGGGGGGTAGTAACTGGGACGTGTGTAGTTTGGGCTGCCCTGCCCTGCCGTTTACTGGAGCCACAAGCAGTGCCTTAAGCAGTGCCTTCCCTCTGAAATGCAAAGCTGCCAAGTAGCTGCTGAACAGCGGCGTCTACTGTCCCCTTGTGCCTGATGCTTTGGTTTTCTCTTTAAGTTCCAGTTCCCATCAGGTGTTGTGGAGCCTGAGACCCGTCCCAGGGCTTCCTCCCAGTGCTGATCCTCGTGCTCGCTGTGGCCAGGGGCCCTTCATGGTTGCCTGGGTGCCAGCAGGGGCTGGGATGTGTGGTTGGGTGCGTGTAGTGTTTGAGGGGTGTGGTGTCTGGTGGGTTGTGTGTGTGTGTGCGCGATTGGGGGTGTCGCACAGTGTGAAGGTGGATGTCTGGATCATCCAAGCTGTGTCTGGTGGCTCCTGGAGGAATTGGTGGGTGCTGTGGCCTGGCACCTGGTAGCTGGCCATCTGGTGCTGAGTGACCTTGCCCTTGCTCCAGGAGTGGCTGCCCCAACAGCCCTACCAGCATGGTGGGGAGCCGAGCCTGTGGCAGAGAGGCCCAGGCTCCACCACTCTGCCTAAATGGTTATAGTCAGAGGAAGGAGACAAAAGGCCAGGGCCAGTGTCAGATGCTCCAGCCCTTTCTTAGGACAGAAATTACCGTGAAATGGGTCTACTGTGAATCCTGGCTCTTCAGACCTGCCAGGGCATATCCCTTCCACTGCTCACAGCTCTTAGAGTCTTCTCTCTCCCTTCCACACAGATGCACAGAAATTCAAAACAAAGTTTGAAGAATGCAGGAAAGAGATCGAAGAGAGAGAAAAGAAAGGTGCTGTGGTGCCATGGGTGGGGGGCTTCCTTGCAGACCCACTCTGCACCTGACTGCACTTCCAGGCGGGTGCTTTTTCTGTCTGCCAGATAAACATTCCAGGGTGCTGTGGTGGCCACCTGACCTATCCAGGGAGATGCAGCTGCCTGGGGACACAGGTGCTTCCTGGGAAGCGCTGAGCACGTCAGTGTTCCTGGACTCACGTCCACTTGGGCAGGCACTGGCGTCCGGGCACTGCCTGGAGCTCAGCCGAAGGTGCTTTACGATGGTCCTCGGTTTGTCTCTCAGAGGGCTTGGTCCTCTGCTGTGAGGCTAGACTGCAGCTGTGGTGGCAGGTGGCCAGATGTCCCTGAGCAGCCTGACCATGATCTAGGCAGTGCTCAAATGCATCCACTTGGCCTCCTGTGGTCACTGGGTTTCAAGACAGACTCTGGGAGGTGGCTTGGCCGGGCAGTAGTCTGTCCTGAGCGGGTGAGCTGCTGTGGGTGGGTGGCGGCGCCCAGGATTGACCTGGTGAGGGCCATGTGCTTGCAAGCACTGTGCTTGTTTTCTCACTGTGCTCCTTGTGTTTTAGCAGGATCAGGCAAAAATGATCATGCTGAAAAAGTGGCGGAAAAGCTAGAAACTCTCTCGGTGAAGGAGGAGACCAAGGAGGATGCGGAGGAGAAGCAATAAACCGTCTTATTTTATTTCCTTTTCCTCTTTCCTTTTTTTTTAAAAAAATTTTACCTTGCCCCTCTTTTTCGGTTTGTTTTTATTCTGTTTCGTTTTTACAAGGGACGTTATATAAAGAACTGAATTCAACATTCAGCTTGTTTTTTTTCTAAGTTTTTGCCCTATTGAAGATGACTTCAGAAAATCCATTCCCCAGTCATGAAAATGTACTGTGCTAACTTTCTTTTCCATAGTGGAAACACTTATTTATAGTCATCAAAAATAGTGAATAAAAAACACGTTTGGAACCTGGACCAGACAGCAGGACTGTGCGTGTATGGGCCTCTGTGCTGTGGGCGCCACAGGCGCCGCCCTCCTGAGCCCCCGGGGGGGGGGGTCTGGGCCTGTGCATGGTGGCGGTGGGTGCTGTGCTTCCCTGTAGCCTGGAGTTCCTGCCCTGGTGTCAGATCGTGTGTGTGTCTTGCTGTGGGCCTTGAAACTGAGGTGTCTGAGCTGGTGCTGGGGAGGGAATGTGGCCAGGGGTGTCTGGTGCTGGATGTGGCACTGATGCAAGGCTGTGGGCTGGGCAGCGTGGGCTCTGCCGTGTCCAGGTGTGGCTTGGCTGTTGCTAGGGCTGAGGCAGGCTCCACTGCCCCTTATGGCCTGAACAGCCACTGCTGTTTTCTGTGGTGAGGAAGGGTGGGCTTAAAGTGTTTTGGAGAGAGAAAGGAAGACCACCAGAGTACCTTGGCTTTGGAGCAGGGAGGCAGTGGCCAACTGAGTGGGTCTGTAGCATCAGCCAAGGCTGACTTTGGTTGGCCCCTGTGGCAGAGTGGCCCTTGTGGAGAGAGGCCAGTCTGGTACTGGGTGGGGCTCAGCCCTGTAGCCCTTCTGTTGGAAAGCCTTTTGTACCCTGGCCTTGGAGAAAACGTCTGGGCTCTTGACCCCCTGGACTTGAAGTCCACACTTGACAGTGTTGGTTGCAGTTGTGGGCATCTGCAGTAACTTTAAATAAGATGTTTTCAAAGATGCTGTTGGGGTTCTTCATGTATCATGGATTGTTTGCAGACAATGTCTTCAGTGTGTGGTCCCAACTGCTGTAAGGTGCCCTGTCACCGTTTGTCATGAACACCTGCCCAGGGTGCTTCATTGTGAGGTTGGCTGCCTGCAGCCATCACCTGTTCTTTCCCGCTCTCCGCCTGGGCCTGGGCCTTATTCTGTCTGATCTCTGTGCTGTGTCCTGTCTGGTGACTGCCTGTCTGGTTTAAACACCAGTCCTTGGTCCCTCTGGGGCAGGGGTCCCCAACCCCTGGCCTGCTGACGGATACAAGTCTTTCCTGTTAAGAACTGGGCCACACAGCAGGAGGTGAGTGGTGGGTGAGCGAGCTTTACTGCCTGAGCACCCCCTCTCAGATGAGCAAGGGATTAGATACAGGAGTGTGAACCCTGTTGTGAACTTCGCATGTGAGGAATCCAGGTTGTGTCCTCTTTATGAGAATCTAATGCCTGATGATCTGAGGTGGAATTTCACCCTGAAACCACTTCCCCACCCCTGGTTCATGGAGAAATTGTTTTCCACCAAACTGGTCCCTGGTGCCAAAAAGGTGGGGGACCACTGCTCCGGTGGATGCACTTCCAGAGACAACTACATTCAGGCTGGTTTATTTTTACATAAATGGGAGCCACTTTATGGTTCCCATTTATAGAGAGGGTCTGTGGTCTCTCCCTCCTGAAGGAAGAGAACAATCATCAGTGGCACCTGGGGGTTGCAACAACAACTCTGAGCAGCTCAGGAGAGAAGGCTGTGACAGCCCCTTGTGCTTTCCAGTGCCCTATATGTTCAGATATACTACTTTAATAATGAACTATGGAAATGATCCCTGAAAGTATGGTCTTTGCTCTTGTTTTAAAAAGCCCACTGAGGATGTCTCACTGGCATCTTGACTGTCCTCTGAGCCGTGGCCCTCACCGTGTCCATGGACTGCTTGCCTCCTGCAGGTTGGCTGGGGGACAGTGGTGCCCTTTGCACCCAATAAGAGGTGAAGCCTGTTCCGTGCCGAGCCAGCTTCTTGTGTTGGGAGGGTGGCGCGTCCACTGCAGATGGCACCTTGCTATGATGCACTCCCGATGACCCGTGGGGCCACAGGCTGGCAGGTCCATGTGTCAGTTGGAGGTTTTGGTGTTTGAAAGGGAGGGCCCCATGCATGGGCCGGAGCTTCCGGGAGGGAAGCCCTTGGCTCCGTCAGATACCCCCAGCACAGAAAGGATGGTTAGTATTCTGTCTTTTGATTTGGGGTTCCAATAAAATCCCAGGCTGACTTCCTTCATCTGGGGATGGGAGAAATGTCTCCAAGGGAGAGTCCCCGACAGTGGGAAGGCTCGTTGTAAAGGCTGGGAGACAGCGCCATCCAGTGCTGGGGCTGTGTTGCAGGGTGCTGTTGAAGCAGCGTGTGGATACTGCAGGATGTGATGTGCTGTGGGAAGGGAGCTGTGCTGGAGGACAGAATGCATCCCCATACGGCCCCATGGGACCACAGGGTAGGCTATACAAGGACGTCCATGTGGGTACTTGGGCCAGCCGCCCAGCCCAGTGTGATTGCAGTGGGTCCTCTTTGGCAGACAGTGGTGAGCAGAATGGGGTCCTGCGGGTGCTGGGAATTGATTGTGTGAGCAATGCAGTGCGGTTCAGCCTTCCGTCCTGGGTCTGTCCACTGGGCTGCAGGCTGGGGAGCCTCCTGCTTTCTGCTTCATTTTCCTTTTCCCTGGGGTCTTAGCTCTTCTTGGGAAGGAAGCTAGGCCATGGGCTCGGCAGCCATGTGGCTGGGGGAGGCCAGTGCCAACCTCGCTCAGTTCTGTCTCCAGCAGTGGGTCTGCACCACTCGGGACGCCTCTGCATTAAGGAAAAGGGATCCTAAGTCTAAATGCGATGGTTGACACCTGTAATTCCAGTGCTTTGGGAGGCAAAAGCGGGGGGATCACTTCAGGTCAGGAGTTCAAGACCAGCTTGGGTAACATAATGTGAATCCATCTCTACAAAAAAAAAAAAAAGCCGGGCATGGTGGTGCACATCTGTGGTCCCAGCTACTTGGGAAGTTGAGGTGGGAAGGAAGTTGAGGTGGGAGGATTGCTTGAGCCCTGGAGGTTGAGATTTCAGTGAGCCATGATTGCACCACAGCACTCCAGCCTGGGCATTAGCAGAGCAAGCCCCTGTTAAAAATTCAAGAGAAAAGGGATCTCACCAAGTAGGCCTGATTCTGCTTCCCACGGTCAGCATTTGGCAGTTGTCTCCAGGGTTCAGCTGGTGGAGGAAGGTGGTAGTCCTGTCACCCTGCACAGAGCATGGGCATGGAGTCAGACCGAGACCCTGAGGGGCTCTATGGTGTGTGTCATTAGAGGAGGCACTTCCTGGAGGAGGGCAGGAGCAAGGGAGAGGCTGGGGATGGGCACCAGGTGGCAGCTGTGCTGCCAACTGAGAGGCTTGCTGGTGGCCACTGCAGAGCCCAGGTAAGGAGGCATCTGCTGCTGTGGGGTCTCATCCAGGCTCACTGTGCGCAAAGACCCCTCCACTGCCTCCTAAAGTCAGTGCTTGGGAGCGCCTCGTGCTGGGCCTCGTGGAGCAGGGCACCCTGAGAGCAGTGCTTACCAGCAGGGCTGCCTGGGAGAAAGCCCGTCACCATTTCTGCTGTGCACTAGTTAGTTGCATTAAGGGCTGGGTCGCTGGGTCCCAGCCCCAGTTCCTTTCTCCAGCAGCGAGCAGCTCACAGCCCTGGCCTGCTCACCCCGAGGAGCTGGGGCCGGGTGCTTCCCCAGGCGAGCAGGGGTCTCCAGGCCAAGGAGCCTCATGCTTGTGCAGCAGGGTAGGGCTGCACGGGCTTCTGGTGGTAGAGGAACAGACAGTCAGGGCTGGGGGCGACGGGTGAGGCACCCCCGCAGATCTCCACCTGGGGAGGGGTATAATGGGTCTGGGTTTCCGAACAGGGGGCGCTGGGGGCATGGTGGAGTGGCTGAGGACAATGACCCTCGCTGAGGAGGCTCCGGAGCTTGACCGAGCAGGCGGAGGTCGCCTGCTCTGCCAAGGGGGACCCGCACCGGGGCCCGCCCCGCCCACAGCGCTGACGGCCCCGGCCCAGTCCACCTTAAGCGGTGACGGGGCGGGTGGGATTTCCTGCGGCAGGGGGCGCGCCGGGCCTATTGGGCAGGGCCGGGGCGCCGGGCTTCCCAAGGGGCCCCGCCTTGGGGACGATGGGGGCTCCAGCCGACCCTCTCTCAAGTCTGTAGCTCCGGGCAGGACGCGGAGGGCCGGGTGCCCGCTGGCCGGGCTCCTCCAGCCCAGTGGTCCTTGGGAGGGCTGCGATGCGGTCAGGGGCAAGCAGCCAGGACAGCGCTGCGGCGTCACACCCGCGCCCCTTCGTGAATGCCAGGGGGCTCCAGACGAGAGGGGTCGTTAGAGAGAGGACTGCGCCCACAGACGCCCCCGAGGCCACCTGCGCGCCTCCGCGGCCCGGGACCAGGGGGGCCTGACCTTCATCGTGGTGCCCACAGGCCGGCCGGGCCGCAGGGGTGCGTGGGTGCGCGGCCCCCGAGAGCCGCGGGCGCCCGCCGGCCTGGGGTCCCCGAGGCTGCGGGGCCCCCGCCCCCTCCCCCTCCGAGGGTCCCGCGAGCCGGTGGGCGGGCTCCGGGCCCCGTGGACTCGCCACGCCTCGGACCGCCCCCGCGCGGCCCCCGGCGCCCGGTCCACCTTAAGGGGCGCGCTGACATCAGCGCGCCGCCGCCGCCGCCCGTGGGGTGGGATTTCCTCCGCCGCCGCCGCCGCCGCCGCGGGTCCTGCGCCGCGTCCAGCCCGCCCGCCCGACCCCGGCCCGACCCCGGCCGGCCCCGCCCGCCCGGCCCCGGGGAGGGATGCGGCGGCGCGGCGCCCAGGATGCCCCGCAGCCCCGGGACGCGCCTCAAACCCGCCAAATACATCCCGGTGGCCACGGCCGCCGCGCTGCTGGTCGGCTCCAGCACCCTCTTCTTCGTGTTCACGTGAGTCGGCGCCGCGTCCGGGGGCACGGGGGCAGCTATGGGCAGGGCCCGCACAGCCGGGGCCGGGGTCGGCGGTCGCGGGGGCTGGCGGGGCGCGGGGCGGGCGGGGCGCCGGCTGCAGGCGACCGGAGTTCCTCTCCCCCCGCCCGGGCTGAAGCCGTGTGCAGCCGTCCCGAGCACCGGGGTGAGTCCCTTGTGTGGGGACACCAGTGCGAGCTGGACACCTCAGGAGTGTCCAGGCAGGCCCTGGCGGGGAGCGCTGGGCCCAGGCAGGGGAGGAGACCAG